AAAAATGATAGTTGTGCTGTGAGGTAATGGCGATAAGAAACGACAAAATTTGGTCAAAAAACCAGTTAATTGGGGCTAGGAAAGGTGCAATCAAGGATGGGAAGGTGTTTGAGCCAAGATGCGCTTCTCTCGTGTGCGTGCTGGGGAGGTTACGTGCACGCAATGACTAGGTGTTCATTGAGGCAAATCCTCAAACACCTGCTGTGCACAGAAAGGGATGGTGAATGCCATAGTCAATTAGGGATTTATTAGTCTTTGGTCAATTTGGTAGACCATAATTTGAAGATTAAAATTTAAGTAATCTTATCCTTTAGCATAGTAGCTTTTTATGGTTATCTTTTAACTTTTAATTTGAGAATGATTTTGGTGGGATTTAGGTTTAAGAAAAGGATTGAACCTATGGTGAATAATGAAGTAAAATTGGGTAAACTTAGTGAGGAGTAAGGCGCGGCCCAATGAGTCTTAGTGTCAGTTGTTGTCCCTATAAATAGAAAATTATATATATATATATATATAATATATATATATATATATATATATATATATATATATATATATATATATATATATTATATATATATCTATATATATATATATTATTTATTTATTCATATTTAAGGAATAGTGTTCCTTGCTTTTTAATATTAGATATTGATTTTTTTACTCTATTTCGCAATAGATAAATTACTAAAAAAACTTCAAATTTTAATAATAAATAAATAAATATAAATAGATAGATAGTAAAAATTGAAAATAAGTGAAGTGACAAAAAAAATAAAAAACTCTTAGTCTATCTAATTGTATGAAAAATAAGGTGCAATCAAGGATGGGAAGGTATTTGAGCCAAGATGCGCTTCTCTTGTGCATGCGCTATGAGGTTGCATGCACTCGTGCAGTGACTGGTTGTTTGTTGAGGCAAATACTCGAACACCTGGTGTGCATAGAAAGGGAAAGGGATGGTGAGTCGTCGGCGAGAGGAAATCGGCTAGAAAAAAAACACCCAAACAACCCAAAACACTACAAAACAATCACACACTCCAAAGACACAACCAATTCCCCCAATCTACTCTAGAAAAACTTCAATTTAAACCCAAATTCACAAAAAACTGCAGGAAACCCTAGAGGAGGTCGTTGGCAATCAAAGAGCTAACACGGTTTGGGCTATTGGGGCTTCTAAAGAGGAGAGTCCAATGAGTCTATGGGTGGTGAGAGGGTGGATTTTGGTGGTCAAGATTGGTCGAAACGGGAGGGATGGATGTGCGAATCACAAATCGGTCTGAATCTGGCGATTTGCGAGGAAGGGATGAGTGGGGTTTTGGTGTGTGAGGATTGGGGAGAAGTTTGGTGGTGACAAGGAAAGTTGTTGTCGCTGTAAAACGGTAGAAAAAGCAGGTGCCAACGTTTGCTAATATGTGACGCCTCCTACTAAAATGCATCGATGCACTTTGGGTTGTGGATTGATTATTAATTTTTTGTCAAGGGCAGTATGGTAATAACACTCTCTAGACTTGTGTCAGAACCTAAAAATCTTTAACTGTATTGGTTTAAGGGTGAAAATCTGAAATTTATGAAACTAAGAGTGTAAACTTGTCATTTTTTCAAACCTTGGGTGGGAACATGTCGTTTACTCTAATGGAATATAATATTAAATTCAATTTTGCACACATGACCCAAGGACAGTAGTGATTGTTGTAGTAACACTATGCTAGTTTTTTTGTCAAAATAAGATTGCCTGATGGATAATATTAAGCACAATAGGATAGGAGAAAAAGGATTTATAACATGACAAAACTCAAAAGTAGTACAAAAAGTATTCTTAGGAATAGTATATGAAATGACAACCTTTTGTTTGAAATTTTTCTTCAAGACTGTACGAGGAAGAATATCAGTATTAATCTTATTTCGTTAGTAGAAACTCTCTCTCAACTTTCTTTCAAATCAAACAGTCTAAATTCACCGAATGTTCAATGATTCAAATGTTCTACCGACATGGTTAATATAAATTTCAATGATTGCATCGACATCATTGCAAGAATAAGTTAGAATTAGTAATTATATTAGATTGGAAGTATTATACACAGTTCAAAATTCCACTTCAGCCGTCAATTACGATCCAATGATTTTATTAGGTTGAAAATCTAGCAATCTTCGCTGCAAGGACAGCATCAATTTGACAAAACTGAGTTTTTATAAAGAAAAGAAGAAGAGTAATATTATATCCATAATCTCTTTTTACTATTTTGAAGTGATATTTTATAATTGGTGAATCGTAATTTATCAGGTGAGATTCATTACGAATTAACTAATTACAAGTTATCACATCGGATTATGAGAGAAAGTTTATGAAAAGAGATTTGGGGGTAGCATATTTGAAAATAGAAATATGGAGCTAAGACTAAGTTTCTACACCTTGAAATCTCACCTATTTTAGCTAGATCCGTTTAGAACCGACCCATTTTAAGTTAGTATCCATTGGATTCATACTCCTTGGGCTTGACCCGTATCCACCCTACCCGCCCATTTTGTTAGGTCTAATTTTAGCAAAAATCTGAAAAGTTTTTTTTTTTTTTTTTTTTTAACGTTTAATATTATAAATATGACATTATATATACAAATTCTGATTTTATGAGTTATAAAAAATATATAAATTTTTTCCCATTATACTACCCATTTAATGCAAATAGACTAATTAAAAATAAATGTTTTGTCAAAGTCTACTTGTGCGCTGAGTATGGACCTTTAAGTCTCATTGGATAATTGATGTTAGGCTCATGATCTACTGAACATCTGAAGAACAATGTTGAGAAATCCAACCAAGAGGCCCAATAGTCTCCAAGGCCCATTGGCCCAGAAAAGTATCATAGACAATTAGAAAACGCTATGATTTTCTCCAAATTCTACATGTTCTTTCTCTCAATCCAAACACTCAATTTCCATGAATGAATTAAACTTGGAAGAATCATTGAAGACCCAATTCTTTTCGGATATTAACATGAAGATAGTTTTGATAAGAACATATAAAAGTCTTCAACATAATATATATACATAAGTGTTAAATTCGATTCAAATATTATATATATACAAACCACGAACGTAAATATAACATACTGTGATCAGACAAACACACGTGCTCGTATATTTTGTTCAAATGGTTTAGATTTTAATAAAAAATTTGTTAATCATATTTTAATCAAATGTGATTAAAGATAATCTCAAAGGAAGTACATTTAAGCTACAAATTAAAGAGATATGAAGAAAGCACATGAACTTTGATGAAGAGACAAAACAGGGGTCATTCATGCACTAATATTATAAGCAATAAGTCTTTGCCTAACATTATTTGACCTTACCTTCCATTCCATAGCAAGAGATTAATATTAATTTAAACATGATAAATTTTGTTCACAGAATTCCGTTTGTTTGTGTAGTTTGACTGGGCGACCACCTTTTCAATGACCCATAATTATATAATTATTTGGTCTTAATTAGATGAGCTTATGCACATAATTAGAGTATTGAGAAGAATTTTCTTAGGTCAAAACAATTTGAAAAAAATCTTAGGTTAGATTATCAATAGGACAGATACGGAGACCATGTGACACGCAATTGCATAAAAAATTTGAAAATATCAGACACATAAGAGCCAAAATATGAAACTTTTTTTTTTTTTTTTTCAATGGAGTGTTCGGGTCATTTGTACGCATCTCGACTAATCTTTAAAAGCTTAAAAGTTCGATTGGATAATCATCTAGTGGTCACTCCTATTAGAGTCTGAGAGACCTCAAACTCAAGAATTTGAAGAACATTTTTTTTGTTCTTTGACCATTAAACTAGTCAATGGTGGTTTAAATATGACATTTGAAGTTTGAACTAACGCAAATCCTAATAAAGCAAAAGTTTAATGGATTGTTCTGGTTCTTCCAAGTTGGGGACGGACAAGGCAATGAACCCAGCGATGAATTGAATGTGAAATTTCCGTCAACTAAGGAAGACAAACTGGTAAATAAAATAAAATGCATTGGGGACCTAAAGAAATTATTTATAATATTGTTGAAGGCATAAGTTGAGGAAGTATGGGTTAAAAAAATTGAATGTTAATTGAGAAATTTTGCATTGGTTATGAAGTGATGAGATATTTGTGCCCATACTGATAATGTTGAGTAGCCCATTGGTGGTGGAATGGATGAAGGCTGACACATTTTTACAGAGAACACAACTTGGCTTCCCATTCAATTTTATCTGTTTTGGATAAAACTGACCTCAATGCCAGTTATTACACACCACACCAATATTAAAATTATATTATTCATTCCCACTTCAATATAACAAATATGTAATAAACTTAAGCCACCAAAATAAAAAATATAATGGAGTAATTATATATATTCATGAGTAAATCCACCCAAAGTTGATATTCCATTACTACCTAAGCTAATTCCGGCCGATTTCGACAGCTAAAATTCTCTATATTACCACCATTTGAACTTCCAACCTTCTCTCTATAAAATCACTCTCACTCTAACACCTGATTTCTCGCCGATTGTTGGCCATTGTAAAGTTAAGGTTGTTAAACAATCCAAAGAAATAAAAAAAAGAGGAAGCTAGGGTTTCATTGATACTGCACAATGCAATCAAATACAAAAGAATGATTTAACTTAAATACAAAGAGACTATATATAGGCTAAACAGAGGAAATAACGAAAAGACTATTCTACCCTTAATAAACAATAAAACAAAATAACCCTATATTTCTTAACATCTCCCCTCAAACTCACGATGCAGCGACTACAAGCATCGAGAGTTTGCCAACTAAAAAACAAAAACGAGAAATAGAATGCGACTTGGAAAGAAATCTGCAATCTGCAATAAAAAAAAAAACAAAGGGCAAGGTAATGGTGCCATGCTTGAGATGATGACGAGTAAGGTGACAATCGATCTCAATGTGCTTAGTTTGTTCATGAAAAACCGAGTTGTGAGCAATCTGAATAGAACTCTAGTTGTCACAATGCATAGGAGTGGGATGAGAACGAGAAACTCCCATATCTGCAAGTAACCAACGTAACCAAACAATTTTTTTTGGTAGTAGATGCCATAGCAAGATATTCTGCTTCGATTGAAGATTGAGAAACAATAGATTGTTTCTTGCTTTTCCAAGAAATAAGAGAATCACCCAAAAATATACAGAAACCAGTAATAGACTTGCAATCTATGGGATCACTGCCATGATCAGCATCAGAGTATGCACGTAGCTCCAAGGAAAAGGTGGATGGAAGTAAAAGACTGTGAAAGACTGTACCCCGAAGATACTGCAAAATATGAAGAACAACTGCCCAATGAATGGTAGTAGGAGAAGCAACAAACTGACTAACAACATGAACAATATATGCAATATCTCGACGAGTAATAGTGAGATATACCAAGCTCCCAACAATAGTACGGTATAAAGTAGGATCTGACAAAGGTAAACCATCAGAAGAATAATACTTTGCGTTAACCTTTATCGGAGTATCTATAGTCTTATTATCAGTAAGTCTAGCCCGCTCAAGAATATCTGCAACATGTTTCAACTGAGAAAAAAGATAACCTCTAGGGGAGTAGGCTACCTTAATACCTAAGAAATATCGTAGAGAACTCAAATCCTTCATTTCAAACTGTCTAGCTAACTCTGTCTTCAAAACTGAAATACCATCAATATCATCACTAGTAATAATCATGTCATCAACATATAAAGACAGAATGATATGACCTGCATCAGTGCACTTAACAAAAAGAGCATAATCATGACTACTAGAAGCAAATCCAAGGGAAGAGATCACAATAGAAAATTTCTCAAACCAAGCACGAGGTGCTTGTTTAAGACCATATAACGCTTTCTTTAGCTTGCAAACATACCCAGAATCATGTGAAACACTAGGAGTGGTGCCATATAAACTTCTTCTTGAAGATCTCCATTCAAGAATGCATTTTTAACATCAAGTTGAGAGATATGCCACTGACGAACCAAAGCTACCGCAATAAGAGTACGAATAGTAGTCATTTTGCAACAGGAGCAAATGTCTCCTCATAATCTATACCATACTGTTGAGAGTACCCTTTTGCAACAAACCTAGCTTTGTATTGCTCAATAGATCCATCAGAATTAGTCTTGATCTCATACACCCAATGACAACCTACAACATTCTTACCAGGAGGTAGAAGAACCAAATCCCAAGTACCTGTCTTATGCAAAGCAGAAAGTTCCTCATCCATAGCTTGCTGCCAAAGAGGATCAAGAATTGCCTCTTTATAGGAAGAGGGCTCAGAGAGACAATGAATAGAAGCTAAAAAAGAAGTAAAAGATGAAGAATAACAAGAATAAGCAAAATCTGGTAACTTTGTGGATTTACGAATGCGTATGGATTGATGTAAAGGTGGATCCACAATCTCGGACGGAGCTTGAGGGACCATAGAAGAAGAGGGAACTTCAGGTGTGCCAAAGAGTAAAGTGTCAGTACCTACAAAATGATCAGTACGAATTGATCGAGTATAATGTAAAGCTAACAGTGTAAGAACATGAGAAGGGGTATTTGAAGTACTAGGAACCTAAGATGAAAAACTATTAGAATCCTTAGAAAAATGATCTATACAAATAAGATCAGATCTAGTCAAGTTATGAGTAGTGGATGGAATAGAAAAGAAAGGTATATGCTCAAGAAAAACAACATGACGAGACACATAAAGTTTCTGAGTAATTGGATCAAAACAACGATACTCCTTTTTACTTTCACCATAACCAAGAAAGACACAAATAGCAGATCGAGAGGACAACTTGTTGCGTTCTACATGAGGACGAAGAACGAAACAAGTACAACAAAAAACTCTAAAGAAAGAATAATTAGGGGCATACCCATACAACTTTTCGAAAGGAGAAAAACCTGAAATATGAGAAGATGGAATTGTATTAATCAAACCTACAATAGTAAGAACAACTTCACCCCAAAACACACTAGGAACAGAAGCAGACAACAAGAGAGAACGAGCAGTTTCAACAATATACCTATGTTTTCTTTCAGCAACACCATTTTGCTCAGGAGTATCTGTACACGAAGTTTGGTGAACAGTACCATCTAAGGCAAGCAACTCACAAAATTTATTACAAGTGTATTTCCCACCCAAATCACACCTAAAACATTTGATAACAACAGAATGTTGAGTTTTGACAAGAGCTCGAAAGGCTGTATATATCTCAAAGAATTTAGAACGGTGTTTCATTAAATAAACCCAACAATAACGAGTATGATCATCAATAAAAGAAACATAATATCGAGACCCTCCTTTTGTGGCAATAGGAGAAGGTCCCCATACATCAGAATGAATCAAATCAAATGGAAAAGAAGAAACAGAAATACTTCGATTAAAAGGTAAAGCTGAAAATTTTGCCAGTTTACATCCACTACAATCAAAAATATCACAAGTTTGCAAATTTCCTAAAGCCCCTGTGAAGGCCAAAAATCTCAAACGAGAAGACGAAACATGACCTAAACGAGAATGCCATAAATAAAAAATAGAAGAAGAAGGACTCAAATGAAAAGAAGACAAATCAACACTAGTAGCAGTAGCAACTGATACTTTTAACTCATCCAAAATATATAGTCCCCCCTTCCTACGGCCTGTCCCAATCAGCTTCTGAGACTGTAGATCCTGCACATAACAAGAAGAAGAGGAAAAGGTGACTAAATTACCAGAATCACATAACTGACCAACAGAAGCAAGATTTAATGTGAGTTTCGGAATATGATAAACATTAGGAGAGACAAGTGAGGTGTGATAATAGAACCAACACCTGCTAAAGGCATATGAGTGCCATCAACAGTCATAACAGGAATAGAAGATGAACGAGACACAGAAGCAAAAGATGAAGAATCTGGAGACATGTGATGTGAAATACCAGAATACAAGACCCATACAGAATGTGACATACCTGAAGAACTATGAGAGAACTACCCTACAGAAGAAGAAGCAGACATAGCTTGTGGTTGTAAAGAGAGAAACTTATGAAATTGCTCAACCAGAGTACTAGGATCGGTGAAAGGACCCGATGAAACTACTACTGCAGTATTAGACTGTGGTGGTTTGTAACCCTGAGGTGGTCTATGAGCATTAGATTGTGACCGGTTGCCAGGCTTCCAAGCTTAAGATTGCTGTCGCGATTGATTCTGCTGTCTCAACTTAGGACACTGAGCCTTCCAATGACTTTTCTGCTTACAAAAACTGCACTCGTCGAAGGCAACCCTTGTGTAAGGCTTATTCTAATTATTAAAGAGTGGCTTAGAAGGTACTACTAACACAGAAGGATTAGAAGCAGAAAGAATTTCCTTTTCAGAATAAGACTTAAGACATGTTTCTTCAGCCAAAATCTCACTGACAATTGAGTCAACAGAAGGAAGTGTAGAACGATGCAAAATTAAACCTCTAAGTCCTTCAAAATCACTGCGAAGTGCCATTAAAAATTGTACCAATCATTGCTGCTCTCTACGAGCAATATAAGCACCACATGCCTTTAATTATGTAGATTCTGTAAGAGCCAATTGATCCCAAAGATCTATCATAGCAGAATAAAACTCTTGAATACTCATATTCTTCTGCTGAAGAGCTCGTATGTCATTCTCCAATTGATACTGCGTTGCAAAATTTGATTGAGTAAATAACTTTTGCAGATGATCCCAAACCTCCTTTGCTGTCTCATACTTCGCCAATTGTGTACCTATGGAATGCTCAACAGAATAGTTAATCCATGCAATAATTTTTGCATTGTTTGCTTCCTAGGCATCTATCAAAGCAGCATAACCCTCATCAGTATTCCTAGGTTTCACAGAAGTTCCAGTAACATATCCCCACATTTTTTTACCCTTAAGAAAATTTCTCATCACATAACGCCAATACGAATAATTCTTTCCAACTAACCCCACACTCACAAACTGAAGCGAATCGTCTCTTTTAATAGCCATAATAAAAAAACAAAGAAAACCAGAATGTAAAAGAAAGGAAAATGAAATACTAGACTTCAGAAACTGAATGAATACCCTCTCGAAAACTGAACAAATACCCTCTCGACACTGAACGAATACCCTCTCAAAATACCAGTTGGATCCGCGTAAGCTGTGTTTAAGATTAAGCCTCGTCCCATGAAACTTGGCTCTGATACCATGTTAAACAATCCAAAGAAATAAGAAAAAGAGAAGGCTAGGGTTTCATTGATACTGTACAATGCAATCAAATACAAAAGAATGATTTAACCTAAATACAAAGAGACTATATATAGGCTAAACAGAGGAAATAATGAAAAGACTATTCTAACCTTAATAAACAATAAAACAAAATAACCTTATATTTTTTAACAAAGGTTTCCTATTCTTAGCTACTTTCCACTTGATTTCGACTACGAATATTCAATCGTTCACCACCATTCGATCCACCGACCTCCACTCTACAAAACCTCTCTTACCCTGACTCTTGGTAACTCGTCGAATGCTAGCTGATAAAGTGAAGTATATTTTGAGTATTAACGGAATATAAACTTTGGGTGAAAAAGTGATATTTTAAAACTTTTTAGGCAGAAAAATATCATTAAGGCAAACCTTGGGTGAGAAAAAGTGGTTTACTCTTTATATTCACCCCACTCGGGTTTCGGTATGTAGTTTAAAGTATTAAAACATCTTTAAAATATTCTTTATATGACCCAAACTCTTTATTATAAAGAGTCTATCTATAAAAACAAGAGTCTAACAGACTCTTTATCCTTTAAATATAAATTAAAAAGTGAGTTTAACTCTCCATATTTAAAAAGTTAAATTTCACTCTCTATCCTAATTTTAATTAAAAAACCTATAAATTTATATGCATTTTATTTATTAATTATCTCTCTTATTAATTTTTTTTTTTTTTTAAATAAAGAGCATCTTCATTAAATTTAAAGATTGCATTGGATTTAAATAAAAAATTTATTTTTTATATTTATAAATTAATAAAAATATTTTTTATTTATATAAAATATTTTCTTTAAAATAGAGAACATTATTAGAGAGGCGCTTACCTTCTTAATTCTAATATAACATAACCTCTGTGAGGATAGAATAGATAATCCACTCGTACACGTAAGGATAAAACAGGTAATTTAATTTTAATTTACTCATCTTTACGTAAAAAAGTATTTTCAAATTTCTTCAATCCCAAATCCCGAGTGTCTCATGCTTCGCACTGTCACCAAAAGCACTAATAAATCCATGATGCTTATCTTAAAATTACCCATTTTTTTTTTTCCAGGTGTCAGCCTATGATACACGTGTTAGTCTTCAATCTTTAACTACTGATTTTGGAGGGTTTGGTTGGCCAGATTTTCTGCTTAGATTTCAACGATTCTGGTTTGGTTTGAACCTTTTTCATTAATGCTCCAAATGAATGCCGTTTCGGTTCCGTTTTCGTAAGTAATTGTATGTGTAATGTAACGACCCCCTCTGCCAAGTGGCCTCCATTTCCTTTGCTTTGCCTTGCGTTACGTTTCATTTATATAATATGATATCACACCATTGCCTTATTATTATATATAAAATAAAAATTTTAATTTGTAATGTTTAATGAATGAAGTTTTCTACTATAATAATTTTGGTATAAAATCACTAATCCAACTTATTTATTTCTGATAGTAGAATTATAATAGTTACTTTCATCTAATGCGACCGTCTTCTTTATCTAGTCATAGAATATTTTTGTCTGATTCGATACTAAGTTTCTATCTAACTAATTAACGAGTGTGTGATGTGAAAAACAATAATTCATATAACGAGTTTCTATCATTATACGATAATGATATCATATCATTTATATCAATTACTCGAAGAATATAACCCTCTAAGTAATGTCTTATATTAATTACTCGAAGAATATAATCCTCTAAGTAATGTCATTTATCTTTTATTTTTAATCCGATGTAACTATCCGCGCTTTATAGATGCACTTAAAAAAGGAAAACCCACTTTCAAGAATTTCATATAAAATGTAATGACTGTTACACCCTTATAATTGATTTGATAAGTTGATGATGAATGAGATAGTGAAATAGACATATAACCCCAACATTTAAAGATCATAAATGAAAAAATAACATAAATAGAGCGACACATTCTTACTAAATTGAAGCATTAATCATACTATAAAAATGTTAAATTATGGCTTAGACATTGACATTTTCCATATAATATAAGGTTTTAATGTTATAAACTATAATCTACCTCAACTAAATGATCCCTTAAAATTATCAACTACCTGTTTCTAAATTTTTTTTTTTTTTTTTTTTTTTTGGATATTAGATGTATCATTTGGTCACGTTAACAGCCTCAACAAAATTATGAATTATCCCCTAAATTTTTTTTTTAAAATTACTGAAAAAAGCAAAAACAAAATCCACCATTGATTTAATGCAGATTACGTGGGGTCATAAAAGCTCGTGCTTCTCCAATTAATTTATCTTTCTTCTCTTGGGTAAAAATTAAAAATAAATAAATAAAAATCCAGTATATATAAATGCATACAAACCATAAGCATAAAAGTAAATTAAAAGCATATCAACCCTGTCTGTCAGTCTGCACTCTGCACACTTATTCAATTCCAATCCCAAAATTATTTTAAAGGTTCAATTTAAAAATAATCATATACTTAATAATTATCAAATTATCTCAATATTTTAATAAAAAATTTGGATTAATATAATCTAATCCATTTACACCATTTAACTATATCTTTTACCAAAATAACTATACGGCGTGTGTGTCTATATATATATATTTGAATTGATAAATGGTATTCAATAATTGAGGGAATGTCTAATATATGGTCTTAAACCCAATAGGGGTACCTTCATGAATAAATGTGAATTAATGTATGATAGATATTTGAATGGTCGCTTGGGCCAGTGGAAACTCTATTAGATAGACATTATCGAATAATATCTTTTGATGAGAGATATGAATAAGAGCTTTCGAGAAAATTTATGTTTTAGAAATTATATGAAACTAATATGTAAATAAAGAATTTATAGTTATTTGAATCCTAAAAAAGCAGAATATTCGTTCTTTTGTTTTGACGGTTAACATTATAGATGTTACTTAATAATTTTATTTACTAAATTACTAAATATATCAAATATAATAAGAGTACACGTCAAGAATATGTTATTTTATTATAACACTTGATGATACACTAATAATTATATAATCAAATATTTAAATCATCGTTTTAAAGAGGATTTTTATCTTCGTATGTCAAATTATAAGTATATAGACAAATATTTAAATTATTATTTTAAAGTGAATTTTTATCTTAATAAGTTAACTTTTATTAGACATGAAAATTTATATTGATATTATATATAATTATAAAAATATTAAAAACTTACTAAATATGGTTATTTATATTTTTTAGTTTAATTTTTAACTTTAATTTAAACCCGAAACTTTATTCACCGTCCATTGTCAGAACTCTCTGCTTCCTTTCATCTTCCTCACTCTATAAATCACACTTCACTCTTCGGCTCTTTCATTCCTGCAACAGGAAGCGGAAGAAGAAACGAAGAAGAAGAGGAAATATGGAGACCCATAATTCCTCTTTCGCTAACTTTTCTTCTTACCTTCGCGCACTTGCCCAGACACCGGCCCGTTTCGCCCGACGGGCCTTTTCCGCAACCACTTCTTACGAGGAAATGAGTCGGGTACGGGCCAAGTCCGGCTCAAATATGCGCAGAACTCTTCGTTGGTACGATCTCATCGGACTCGGCATCGGCGGCATGGTAGGTGCCGGCGTTTTCGTCACCACGGGTTGGGCCAGCCGCTCAGACGCCGGCCCCGCCGTAGTAATTTCCTATGCCATTGCTGGTGTTTGCGCTCTTCTCTCCGCCTTCTGCTACACTGAATTCGCCGTTGATATGCCCGTCGCCGGTGGCGCCTTCAGCTACCTCCGTGTCACTTTTGGTAGCGTTTTGCTCAAAACACTCACGTTGTTTTTTTTTTTTTTTTGGGTTCTTTTTCTTTTATACCTTCCCAAATTTTGTACTGATTTCAAACCTTTCACAGGCGAGTTCGCGGCATTTATAACCGGAGCCAACCTCATAATGGAGTACGTCATGTCAAATGCCGCCGTTTCACGGAGCTTCACGGCGTATGTTGGCGCCGCAATCGGCGTCTCCGCTCCAAAATGGAGATTTACCGTGCACGGACTCCCTAACGGCTTTAACGAAATCGATTTCGCCGCCGTGGCCACCGTTTTATTTCTCACTTTCATAATCTGTTACAGTACTAGACAGAGCTCAATGCTGAACATTGTTCTCACTGTACTGCACATTTTGTTCATCGTGTTCGTGATAGTGATGGGGTTTTGGAGAGGGGATACTAAGAATTTGACTGAGCCAGCGAATCCGAAACACCCGTCCGGGTTTTTCCCGTACGGAGCTTCTGGTGTTTTTAACGGAGCCGCCATGGTTTATTTGAGTTATATTGGATACGACGCCGTTTCAACCATGGCTGAAGAAGTCCAAAATCCGGTTAAGGATATCCCTGTCGGGGTTTCGGGTTCCGTTGTTATCGTTACCATTCTTTACTGCTTAATGTCTGCTTCAATGTCCATGCTTCTCCCTTATGATATGGTGAGTAAATGAGACAATTAGTTAATTAGTTTTTTTATAATTTTTGTCGTGTTTTATTTATTTATTTGTTTTTTTTGTGATCGGGTGTGGTGGGGAACACGAAGATCGATACGGAGGCGCCGTTTGCGGCGGCGTTTAGTGGGAAATCGGACGGGTGGAAGTGGGTGTCAAACGTGATAGGAGTGGGGGCCAGCTTCGGGATACTGACGTCGTTGTTGGTGGCGATGCTTGGACAGGCTCGGTACATGTGCGTAATCGGACGGTCGGGCGTGGTCCCTGAATGGTTCGCTCGGGTCCACCCTAAGACATCTACGCCTGTCAACGCCTCCGCTTTTCTTGGTACGTTTTTTTGTTATCATTTCATTTCATTACTCTGTTTTCGCCTTGATCCTCACGTTATTTCTGTGTTGTGTTGTGCCAGAAAGTTTGTGTATTTGTTGTGTTCAAGATCTGTTATTTGTTTGTTACTCAACTCAAACAAATTCTGTCATCTTCCTCCAATTTGCAAAAAAATTATAGAAGAATCGGTAAAATTGTCGAACAAATATTAAATTGATTGTAAGTTTCGCATGTTCTTACATGGATTAACATTTTTATCAAATGCTTTGTTGGGTTTGTAGTGGTTAATATATACAGGACAAGGAAGGATGGCGAAAAATTTAGTTTTAGGAATCTTGATTATGCGAACTATAGATTGCAGGTTGTACGATGTTGATATTGTAGAAGAATAGAGATGTCGAGGAGGAAACTAAGTGGAAGATTAAATTTCTTTTGTTTGTTTTTTATTTAGTTATATTTGTCTTTATCAATGTGTGATGATGTGTAGTACAAGGGGGGGAAATGCATTTTTGTGAATTATTTATGATGATTTTATATTATTTGTTCTTCTTCTTAGTTTTTAAATGTCAATTCAATCATGAATTACTTTTTGGGTTATAATACCCCACTGTGTCGGGTCAGTTCATCTTTGTTCTTCTATGTTCTTATTATGGGACCCTATGTGATGTTTTGTGATCATGAACAAATTTTCTAAATTTAGCTTTCATTTGGTAGCCCACATGGATTACATAAATGCAATTATCAATGATTTGGGGTATCGATGTGATACACATTTTCATGAGATATTGTGTTTTTAAGAGATGTAAAATATTTATGGCATAGAATCACTGGGAACAATTTTTTTCACTTTGAAATAGTGAACATCTTGTGGTGATGTTTGGGATGGAACTTCTTACTTTTCACTATAGGTACTAATTTTGAGACTATTGCCTTTCCTGTCTTTTAAGTACAACACTTGGGTATATCTTTGTGCGATGTTCATTGTCCTTCTAGTGTTCGTACAGAAAGCAAACTATGTTGTGGTCCGGTAATATTGTCGGGGGCTAACAATCATTGGTTTTACTCGGATTAGTACTGTGCCCTTACATCCGAGTCAATCCAATGGTTCTGATTGTCCAGTATATCTAAGGTTGTTGCTCCATTGCTTGGTATTTGAAATATGGGAACTTTATATTGGGTGTAAAATTTGTGGTTGGGGCATATACGAAAATAGGTGAGATTTTGCAGGCAGATTAAGCATGTGATCTGAGCTAAAAGTTTGATGTGTGCATGAACTAAAGAGGATTGCTCATGGAAAGTATTATGGTTGCTGATTTCAGCACCTTCTTTGTTTAGTCCTTTTAGTTTTGTTTTTGAAGTTGTAAATTTATCTGGTTATATATTCAAGTGGTCTAGATTGGCCTGACTGTCCTCATTATACAAGGATAAAATCCCTTGGTCAGAGCTATTGATTGAAAATGACCTTTGCTCACAAGTTCACCGGGCGAAAGTTGCATTCATATGTTGCTAAGGGCTGACTTGGATGTATTTGGTTCATAGACTTTACTAGAAAAAATAACTTTCTTCCCTTGAATTTTTTTCATCTCTGCCTAGCATCATATGCTTTGTCTCTCGTCTGACTCCTGTCATGAGCTGCTGAACGCATATACTTGGGTAACTAGTTTCACACTTCTAATATATCTGCATTCTCTTCTTTTTCAGGAATCTTAACTGCTGCTATTGCTCTTTTTACCGACCTAAATGTGCTACTCAACCTTGTATCAATCGGGACACTATTCGTCTTTTACATGGTGGCAAATGCCGTTATCTATAGACGTTATGTAAAAGTGGGGACGACAAATCCATGGCCTACATTATCCTTCCTGTTCTTGTTTTCGGTGACCTCTGTCATATTCACCCTGATATGGCGTTTTGTCCCACCATACAAGTCTAAAGCCTTTATGCTCGGATCATGCAGCGTAATCGCCATAGCAGTACTGCAGATTTTTCATTGCATGGTTCGACAAGTGAAAAAGCCGGAGTTCTGGGGTGTCCCTTTGATGCCATGGATACCCTGTATATCTATCTTCTTGAACATATTTTTACTGGGGTCACTTGATGGACCATCCTATGTCCGATTCGTATTCTTTACGGTTTTGGCAGTGCTTGTATATGTTTTATACAGTGTTCATGCTAGCTTTGATGCTGAAGGAGATGAGTGTTTCGGTCAAAAGAATGGAGAAATTGTACATGAATCTACAGAAAGTGAGGACCCTAGATTTAAAGTATAACAGTAAATTACATTTTCTTTAAATGCAATGACCTCTCTACTTTTCTGCGTTGTTTGATGGATAGATACTTAGAAAAGTGGAGTGGGAAGAAGCAAAAGGAATAGAACTGAAATTGACCTCTGCAGTATTTTTGTAGAAATTACAACTTGTATAGTTGGTCTTTGTTTAGGCTCACTCTTTCTGTGTTAGGTCACTTTATCCATCTACTTTTAGTATGACATGTGACCTTAATATACAAAATATAATATAAATTATCGTGAAATATAATTATGTTAAAACTATTATGTAAATGGGAAAAGAGATGAGATTCTGTATATCGTTAATGGGGATAAGAATATGCTAATATAATGAAATTGGGAATTATTGAACAATTTTTGAGCACGAAAGATAGAAGTTTTTACATGGATACCCTTGAGGTTTTTACATGGATGTCTATGGGTGTTTTTGGAATGAAATACTTACATCGTTATAATTATGAAATACTTTGTAAAAAGTTAATTCGGACATATAATCTTAGTTCTACAATTAAAAGAGGTTAATATCTTATTATTTGTCACATGATTAAAATATTATATAGTTACTACCAAAAATATCATTCAATTATAAGGGTGTAAGTGTTCTATTTTAACCCTAAATGATTAACTTGATGGTTGAGGAGGTTTGCTCATTCTTTGAGTTCCTGCGTTCAAATCTTAGGATACCTACCACAATAACATTGTGGTTTATCTGGTCCTTTGAGCTTGTAGGGTGTTTAATAAACTCTGGAGATTAGTTGAGGTGCGTGTAAACTGGCTCAGATACCTCGATTACAAAAAAAAAAAAAAAGTGTTCTATTCTAAAACATATGAGTCTCTTTGTTTGTTCACTAAATCTTAGGGGTGTCCATGTAAAAACCTAGTAAAAGAGGCATGTTTAGGAAGAAAATAAATAATAAATTAAAAAATTAATTTATGAAGTGGAGAAAATCAGAATCTAGAAAGAGACCTGCCTTATCTAATTTTCATAATATGACCAAATAAAAGTGGGCCACCTTGTGTGTTTCATGTTTTCTTTTTATCCCAATTGAATCCTTTATGTCTATTGCATTGTGTCAATTGCTTTCTTTTTATTATTATATTTATTTTTCTTGCAATTTACAATTTTGTTGGGAAATTATTATTTGTTTAGGCCTCCTAAATAATACATAGTACTAGTCACATCTCTTAGGCCTTTGAAAATAGTCAAAAACAATCAAAAGAATATAATATGTACTATTAAATTGGTATTTAATAATTTTTATACATAAATCTTGACCTTAATTTTTTAATATATGGGTTGATATTTCAGACAAAATATAACTTTTTTTTTTTAAAGAATAAATTTCATTCAACTTGAGAAGTTTTGACTTAATTAGTTATATGTTAGTTTATGTAGGTGGGAAAATATTTTAATATATTTTATGAAACTTTAGGAGATGCATTTTTGAAACCCCATTTAATTTTAAGCTTTGTTGACCAATTAGATACTCATTGAATAATTTTTTTTCAAAGTAACAATTAGAAAAGAAGTTTCATTAATTAGCCTTGTAGAAAATAAGCTTTATTTTTGTCATTTAATATTCTATTTTTGGAGTGATGAAACATAAATACATCATTTCCCACCAACTAAAAAAAAAACGAGATAAGGTATGATTGGTTATGGAGTGAATTAGGATAAATTTATGCTCCACAAGCATCTTTACTGAGTCATGGGATTTTGGTTTGATGCCTTCTTCAAGTGGAGTTGCCATTGGTGATTTCCACTTCCTTCATTCTTTGTCCATCAATAATCAACAACACCAAACACCCACTTCAACAAATTATATTTTACTTTCTTTTTTTCTAAATCCATAAATTTTCCGGTCTCGAAAATGAAATTAATATGCCAAGTTTTGATGAATTATTTAAAGATTTAAATACTGAAATTCGTCATAATATTTTCTTTAAAATTTTATAAAATGCATAAGGGATAGAGAAGAGATATATGTTAATAAAACAAATAATTTTAAAGGCTCTAATTGGATCAAATCTTGAGTGATGCGAATAGTTTGTCCTGGGGGGCCTCATAGAATAGGGGCCATGGGCTTACCACAATCCCCACCACAAAACAAAAGTCCTTGCAATATCTCTCTACTTATTGATAACATTTAAAAAGTAAATTCCAAAGAGGGTGCTCTTTTCTTCTTTCTTTCACTTAAGATATGACCTTCACGTGTGACCCAACTCTTCTCACTATAAACAAACCAATCAAACCAACTTTAAAACTATATGATAATTTAATCTAATAAGAAATTTTCAAACTCTTTGAACTTTGACCAAATTTCTTTTGATTCTCAAACAAGATTTGATTCCAATATCTCTTTTACAACTCTAAAAGACTCGATCGTCTGAACTAGTTAATACCCAATTACACAAATGGTTAGGATTTTTTTTTTTATTATTGGTCTTGTTTACACAATTTTTTATTTACCATTTCTATTTTGAGTTTATTACGATTTTTCTCTTAGGTATCATAAAATAATAGGTTTCTTCCTTAAGTATTTGAGCAATTTTACCCCTTATAGTCACACTTTCTTTAAGTGTTTCAATCATCTAACTAATACATTTTATACTTAATCCATTAAATTAACCAATAAATCCTAAAGAAAATATCAAAGGTAGGGGGTAAATTGTTCTTTATGGTATTTAAGAGAGGAAAATGTTATTTACTGATACCTTAGAAGAATATTTTAATAAACTCTCCTACTTTTTAGTTTACTGAGTATTGAATGTATATAACTAAAACCATCATTGATGACTTGATGGTAAAAAAGTAAAAAAATGTTTCATGAGCTCCTTAGTTTGAATCCCATTTGATATTACTGGAACTCTTATTCGATTGGTAGTTTTAAAATCTTAAAGGATTAGTTGAGATCTGCACATGCTAGCATGGATACTCAAGGTGATAAAAAAAAAAAAAATTTCATATAAAAATGAGAAAGAGCAATAAATGGGAAAATGAATGGACAGGGGTTGTCATGTATTTGTCACAAAGGCCAAAAAAATAAAAAGGGTCCACACTATTTGTATCTTACTGTAATTTGAGACCCTTTTTGTCCCTTTGTGGCTCTTCAATTTGATTACCCATATGTCAACTTGATTGTATGTGTCTCAATTCTCCATATGCATATCTTTTTCAAATCGCACCATAAATTTTCCATCTATGGACTTGCTGGCCAGATTTTTGCCATTTCATTTCAATCACTCGCTTCTTTCTTAAAAAATAAAAAAAATGAATCATTGAATTTATTGTAGTTCTTTACCTTGAATTGAATTTAGATTTAAGTAATTTGATATGACACAAAAAATGATATGACTTGCAACCACCATGGATGATTTCAAAAGTGGTTTGAGGTGTGAAGAACAAAGCTGGCTATTCCCCTGAAAGAGCTGGTTGGAATGTGCCCACTTTGCATAGCCGAATAACCTCTGTACTTTTCCTTTATTGCTCAAAAGAAAAGGAGAGTCGCACGAACTTATTACGAATATGGGAGATGTGTTTTGAGCCTTCAAAGTATCATACTACTTGCGGGATAGACATAATATAAAACAAATTATGATGTGTTGAATATGACATGTGAATAGATAAAACAAACGAAGAAAAATATTTTTTTTTTCTTATCTTGATTGAGCTTTGATGTCAATCAGAAGGAGTTTTGTGCCTCCTCTCATGTTGCAAGTTGTTTGTGGATGGATGATTGTCAGGGGCCCCATGGTGGACACTAAACTGTAGATGTAAAAAATCTATTGCTATGAAAATATGGTCTGATCCTGTGAGGTTGAGGCCACTGACAATCTGCTAGACCTGCACACATGAAAGGACAAGCGTGAAGTTTTCAAAAAACACCGGGGTGGTGTTTGCCGTAGGCACTTGTACGCTCAAGTCAGTGAGGTTGAAAGAGATTATTTGATAAGAATTAAGAAGATGAAGAATTACCAGGAGTCTTGTCGTAGGCTAGGACTATGTCGGAGGCGTCGGGTTCTTGGGAGCAAGAACTTAGGAGCAAATAGATGGTTTTAAGTAGTGTAGATTGATTATGGGAGATTGCATGCCTAATGAGAGGGCAAACCTCTGTTTTTGTTGTGAACCTAAAGGGTTGAAATCCTAGTAGGACACTGAGTCTTCTTTTGGGAGATAATTCATATCATGAAAGAGATATGATTTCTTAACTTTATCAGATTAAGTTTGATAGTTTGAGTAAAATTTGGAATCTTAGTAGGACACTAAGTCCTATTTTGGGATATAATCCATATCATGAAAGAGATATGATTTCTTGACTTTATCATATTAAGTTTGATAGTTTGAGTAAGATTTGGAATCTTAGTATGACACTAAGTCCTATTTTGGGAGATAATCCATATCATGAAAGAGATATAATTTCTTCACTTGATTATATTAAGTTTAATAGTTTGAGTAAGATTTAGAATCTTAGTAGAAGAGGAAATAGAATGAGATTCTGATTTCTTATTTATGGACTGTTGCAGGCTAATGGGCTGAAACCTAGTTTAGCTTAACTTATAGGATAACCCAACTCATAGAGTGGATAGTTCACGAGGTGATTTTAAGCGTAGGGTCAATCGGGATTGGGTTGAGGCCTTGGGTCGTGACATATTTATTTCGTTATTGGGCCTTGTTAAGTCCAATATGATTTTTGACCCTAACAGGTTGTCATGTATTTGTCGGCAAAAAATAAAAAGGGTCCACACTATTTGTATCTTACTGTAATTTGAGACCCTTTTGGTACCTTTGTGGCTCTCCAATTTGATTACCCATATGTCAACCTGATTGTATGTGTCTCAATTCTCCATATGCATATCTTTTTCAAATCGCACCGTAAATCTTCCATTTATGGACTGGCTCGCCAGATTTTTGCGATATTTCAATCACTCTTTCTTTCTTTAAAAAAAAAAATGAATCCTTGAATTTATTGTAGTCCTTTACCTTGAATTGAATTTAGATTTAAGCAATTTGATATGACACAAAAAATGATATGACTTGCAACCACCATGGATGATTTCAAAAGTGGTGATTGATGAGAAATAAGACAAGCATAGGAAAAAGACAAAAGACAATCAATCAAACTTTTGGTGACTTCAATTCAATCAAGAAATTTATTAAATGGCTAAACTTAAAAGGTCAGGGGTAATTGTGATCTTTTGAAACTTTTTGGTTAAAAAGTTTCATTAAGGTAAACTTTGGGTGGGAATTTTTTTTTACACTTTTGATAACTAGGTTAATTATTTTTATATTCAATCTTGGTAAGGTTACCGTAATTACATATTTTTAAGGGCAACACAATAGTATCGGAAGTTTGATTACCTTAATTCAATAATCCGTTTACTCCATTATGGTTTGAGAGGTGATGGTCCAAAGAATCAGCTGATGAGCAATTACGCGTGAGTACAATAATATTTTATTATTAAAATGAAAAAGAAAAAAGAAAAAGAAAGGCATCACGATAAACATACTCATAAACTTTTTATGTGATATATTTTGTTTTTATTGATTCTTTGTGCATAACATCATATCGAATTACATGTTTAATTTTTTTATATTAAAGTCAAAAAAGTTTTATATTTAAGATCTTCAAACTATAGAAAGAAGTTTTACTTTGCAAGAATTATTAGTGAGAAAAATTTACATGCGATGTTCTTACAATATCATCATACTAAAGTGGTGAAGCAATTTAATTAATATTGACCATATAAATAATCACATTTGTAGTGTTTTACTTCTTGCCGATTGCTGGTCATCGCAAAGCTAGGATTTCCTGTTATGAGCTAATTTCTGACTGATTCCGACGACGAATATTCAATTGATCATTATCATTCGATCCACCGGCCTTCACTTTATAAAAAGCTCTCTCACCTTGTCTCTTAATAACTCACTGAATGCTGGCTGAGAAAGTGAAGTGTATTTTAAGTGTTAACGGAATATAAACTTTGGGTAGGAAAGCGGTACTTTGAAACTTTTAGGGTGAAAAGTGCTATTAAGGTAAGCCTTGAGTGGGAAAAAGTGGTTTGCACTTTTGATAATTATGTTAATTGTTATATTCAATCTTGGCAAGGTTACTGTAATTACATATTTTTAAGGGTAACACTACAGTATCGAAAGTTTGATTACCTTGATTCAAGAATTCATTTACCCCATTATGGTTTGAGAGGTGACGATCTAAAGAATCAGCTGATGAGTAGTTACATGTGAGTACAATATTATTTTATTATTAATAAGAAAAAAAAAAAAAAAAAAAAAAAAGGCATCAAGATAAACATACTCATAACCTTTTTATGTGATATATTTTGTTTTTATTGATTCTTTGTGCACAACATCATATCGAATTACATGTTTATTAATTTTTTTATATTAAAGTAAAAAAGTATTATATTTATGATCTTCTAACTGTATATAAATAAGTTTTATGTCGTAAGAATTATTAGTAAGAAAAACTTATATATGATGATCTTGCAACATCATCATACTGAAGCGGTGAAACAATTTAACTAACATTGACCATAGAAATAATTACCTTTCCAATGTGTGGTTTTGAAAACACTATTTCTGATATTGTCAATTATCGGATGATCTCATCATATCAGTACATTATATAATAAATTTGTATGATGTATGTATTTCTTCACAGTTATGACATTAGATTTAGTGGCAAAGTCATGTTTCCCTTTTTTGTTTTTTCTTTAAAAAAAAAAAAAGAAATCCTTGAATCTATTATAGTTCTTTACCTTGAATTAAATTTAGATTTAAGTTATTTGATATGACACAAAAAAAAGATATGACTTGCAACCACCATGGATGATTTTCAAAAGTGGTGATTGATGAGAAATTAGATAAGTATAGGAAAAAAAACAAAAGGTAATTAATCAATCTTTTGGTGACTTCAATTCAATCAAGAAATTTATTTTAACTTGACAAATAGAATAAAAAACTGATTAATTCTTGGAATTTAGAGGCTAATGGCTAAACCCTAATGAACATCTTTCATATGAAAGGGATAGTGACTTTTCAACATATACCTTTGATGGAAATGGAATATAATTAAATCGAGGGTCTTGTCAATCTAATAATATAAATCTCATTAGTAATGTTTAAACTAAAATTTGTCGGCCGCTGAGTTAGAATTTTATTTTTAAGAAGATGAAAAATATAGATTATGTTAACGAGATATTATTTTAAGAAATGTTTATTATAAAAGAAAGTAATTGTGATTGATTTTGATCTTTTTTTCAAATATATTTAAAATCTTAAAAATATTATTTTATGAGATTGTTAATAGATTTTTTAAAAAAAAAAAATTTAAACTCCAATTGGCATTTATTTACTTGTTCCTAAATAAGTAGGAGCACTTGATTGGGCTTTGGTTAGTGATAGTCCGGGCTTTGGGGTTGGGTTGGGCCTCAACAACCTAGAAATCCTAAGTGGTTTCGATGCCACCCACAATACTTTCTAACTACACCTATTTCTTTAAGAAAAAGAAAATGAATTTTAGCCATTACCCTCCACTTTTTTTATATATTTTTTTTGACAAGTTTTGCCTTAGCATAACTTACTAAAAATTAATTCTTACTTAAACACTAATTCTAAATTTCATAATCACTGCAATATTTTGTTTTGTTTTGTTCTAAAATATTTGTTTGTTTGATGAAAATATATTACTAAAATTATTGTGTGGAAAAGTTCAGTAAGGCAAACTTGGGTGGGAAAGAGTGTTTGCTCCAAAATTAAACTCCTATTCACATCAATCTTGTATAGGGCATTGCATAATCTTGAATCAAATTATATGAAAACCATATATAGATACAAAAACAGACTTCATTATTCTGAAGTTAATCTCTATCACAGAAATCTCTCAACATTACCCGATCCAAAACCTTTGCCCCCAATACAACAAGACCATGTTTGGAGGGCCCCAAATGCTACTACTCAACTGTCAACTTTACATGCTTTCTTCCAGTTATGTGCAAGAGAAAGAGCACTTTTGCAAGGCAAAACCTGTCATGCAAAGATTATCACTGTTGGGCTTAATGCAGATACTTTAACTTCAAACATGCTCATTAATTTGTATGCCAAATGCGGTCTTAATGATCAAGCACGAAAGGTGTTTGATTTAATGCCGCAGCGATGTGTTGTTTCTTGGAATACACTTCTTGGATCATATACCAAGAATGGACAAGACCAAGAGGCTCTTGCTCTTTTTGTGAGTATGCAAAGAGAAGGGAAAACCCGTTTTAGTGAATTCACAGTTTCGAGTGTTCTTTGCGCGTGCGCGGCAAAATGTGACGTGTTTGAGTGTAGACAGTTGCATTGTTTTGCTGTTAAGGCGGCCATGGTTTCAAATGTGTTTGTAGGAACTGCGTTGCTTGATGTCTATGCAAAGTGTGGTTTGATAAAGGATGCGAGTCGGGTTTTTGAGCTTATGCCGGAGAGAAGTGCTGTTACTTGGAGTTCTATGGTGGCTGGTTTTGTGCAAAATGAGCTTTATGAGGAGGCTTTAATGTTGTTTCATAGAGCGCAAGTAATTGGGTTGGAGCAAAATCAGTTTACTATTTCTTCTGTAGTTTGTGCTTGTGCTAATTTGGCAGCTTTGATTGAAGGGAAACAAGTACATGCTGTTTTATGTAAAACTGGGTTTGGTTCAAATATGTTTATAGCTTCTTCTCTTATAGATATGTATGCTAAGTGTGGTAGTGTTGCAGAGGCTTATAATGTGTTTTCGGGCATTAAAGAGAAAAATGTTGTTATGTGGAACGTGATGATTTCTGGGTTTGCTAGACATGCACTTTCTATGGAGGCAATGATTTTGTTTGAGAAATTGCAGCAGGTTGGTCTTTGCCCAGATGAATTTACGTACATTTCTGTGTTATCTGCATGTAGTCATATTGGTTTGGTTGAAAAGGGGAAGACCTATTTTAATCTTATGATGACACAACACGATGTTTCGCCCAATGTCCTTCACTATTCGTGCATGGTTGATATTCTTGGTCGGGCAGGGCTGATTCATGAAGCTCATGATCTGATTAAGAAGATGTCATTTGATGCTACTGCTTCAATGTGGGGATCGCTTTTGGCATCTTGTAGGACTATTAAGAATCTTGAAATTGCTGAGATAGCAGCTAAACGTTTGTTTGAGATGGAACCTGATAATGCAGGAAACCATGTGTTGTTATCAAATGTATATGCAGCAACGAGTAGGTGGGAAGAAGTTGCAAGAGCAAGGAAACTCCTTAAAGACAGTGAGGCTAAAAAGGAGAGGGGTAAGAGTTGGATTGAAGTGAAGGATAAAGTTCATACGTTTATGGTCGGAGAGAGCAACCACCCTAGAATCAAAGAGATTTACTCAAAGTTGGAGAAGTTGGTGGAAGATATGAAGAATTTAGGTTACAAGCCAGAGACTGAGCACGACCTTCATGATGTGGAAGATAGCAGAAAGCAAGAACTATTGAGGCACCATAGTGAGAAGTTAGCTCTTACTTTCGGACTAATGTGCTTATGTCCAGGTGCCCCGATCAGGATAATAAAGAATCTGAGAATTTGTGGGGATTGCCATTCTTTTATGAAGTTTGCATCAAGCATTACAGGGAGGGAAATTATTGTTAGGGATACAAATAGATTTCATCATTTTAGAAAAGGAAGTTGTTCTTGTAGGGAGTTTTGGTGAAATTCTAGTTTACTTCATTGACTGCCGATGACATATTGTTTTACAATTGCTGACTTGAAACTCGCCCAAATAGTTGCAATGCCAGATAGAGAGGTTCATTTTTGTTGATCTTTTTGGTATACTAAATAAAAGAATATTACATAGATCAATATTTTTAAACAGCCCCAAATTAAAATTATGATTGTACCAAAGTAAGAATTGTATACATTTGCGCAACTACTTAGAAAATATTATTTCCATGTGCATCAACTCTTTCAAACATGAATACATGTTTCTAGCACAAAATGTGAAATTTTGTAATACAATGTCTTTCAAACACAAGTCAAAATTATTAAAAAAATGGTTCAATTTTGGATACAATTGAGATATTAGAAGAAACTAAAATGTTAAGTGGGTTGATTTAATTTAAATGTTGAGGGTAAATGGCATTTTTGCTGTAAGAATTAAATTAGGATGAGAGGTCTAAGACAAGTGCATATGAAAATATAACAAAAATGTCTTTGCAACTAAAATTAGAAGAATCTATTAAATTATATGAACTTAAATATAATATTTATGAAATATATTTTATAATATTTAAATAGCTATACTCAAAATATATTTACATATGATATATTTAGCATTGAAGACAAGCATAATCCAATTTTCTTTTTTATAATTCAACTTACCATATGATATATTTACATGTTAATCTAACAATATAGAAAAAATAAATTGACAAGAATTTTTAGATTTTTTTTTTTTTTTTTTGAGTTATTTTGCCTCTTGAAATATTTTTCTTTTGACTTTATTCGTTAAATTGATTCTAAACTGATTTAAATTAAATATTTTATTGCCAGTCATATAATTATCATTACAGGTTTTGAACCACTTTAAAAAAGTCTTCTTGTTTTATATTAATTATTACATATTCACCTCCATCATTGATCCATCAGGATTACGTACGCATCCTACGTGGTTCAAAAATTGTCAATCATGTTCCTCTGGTTGATGTAAATCCTTGCAACAATATTTTGGTGCTCGAAGGAGGGCCCTGCGGAAGCTCTTTGTGTTTTTCCAATAGATCCAGTTCCATTTCCTGAGAATAGTGCAATATCAATCATAGCTCGCACAATCAGATCTAAAAGCAGAGTCAAAACCAGGCGCGCCGACGACGTCAACATTAGGCCTGCAATCGAACCGAACATGAACAAACGGGCCCGTTCGAAAATCGTTCGATAAGCATGTTCGATTGTTCGTGTTCGTGTTCGTGTTCGAACGAACACAGGATCTGTGTTCGTGTTCGTTCGATTAACAAAAAGCTCGTTCGTGTTCGTTAGCAACTCGTTCGTGTTCGTTCGACTAACCTGTTCGACTAACTCGTTCGACTAACCTGTTCGACTAACTCGTTCGACTAACTTGTTCGTTCGACTAACTCGTTCGATAATTTGTAAATACTTGTTCGACTAACTCGTTNTTTTTTTTTTTTTTTTGTTAACTAAGATGTTTGGATCCGTTTATGTACACCTCGGCTAATTCTTAAAAGAAACAACCTACCATCACAATCTATCGTGGGCAAAGGTATTATCTCTACACTAGATAGAGAATAGTAAAAATGAGCATATTTATTTGTAAGATATATTTATTAACAGTGAAAATAATATGATTTGACAATTAATTTTCGATAGTTTTTATTAGTCATAAATCTCATTTTAATTTATGTAATTATACAGCTTTTATAATCTATTTTATGAGTTTTATGGCAAACAACTATATTATTTTTTAATAGTATCACTTATAATTGAATTAATTTTCTTGTCTAGAGATTGGAAAGTTGTAGACAATTTTGTCACCTCTTAATTATATATAGGAAGTATTTATACCAGCCAGTACTCCTATGGTTTTCAAAATTTACAATCAGTGGCTATGTTATTCGAATTATCCAACTATTTCTTATATCGTTAAATTTTTTCGTTAAAATTAACTTTTTAATTGGTTTTGACTTATAAAATTACCAAATTACCTCTAAAAATAAGTTACTTTAAAATTAAGAAAAATATCTAAGGCTCCGTTTGGTTCACATTTTTACGTTTTTGGGAAAAAAAATTTTTAAAAAGTTAAAAAAAAGTTGAATTGGGCGGGTAGTACGATATAGGATTTACAAATTAATAAAATATCTCCTATGTTTATTTTTTTACAAAACACCCCTATAATCAAACATTAAAAGTTAACAAAAACACACCCAACCCACCCATCAAATATGGACAGCTGGCCACCACCGCCGGAGGGTGGTTGGAGTCGTCGTATCGGCGCATGACCGGCTGGATCTTGCCAGTCGTGCACCGATATGGCTAGGGCTGTGCAAATCCGGATATCCGATCCGAATAGGACATTTTTTGATCCGATCCGAATTTTCGGATCAAGCTATTTGTTGATCCGAATTATGTGGATATCCGGTTATCCGGATATCCGATTATTCGGATCGGATGATCGGATATCCGAATTTTAAGATTTCCTTATTAAAATTTAAAACCAAATAATTCAATCCTTCAACAATCGATTTGGGGCTTCAATCGGTTGTGTCTCTATCTGTGCGTATTCGAGCGAGAGAGACAGAGTGAGATTGAGATGAGATCTGGTGATTCACTAATTCTGGTCTGAGAGAGTGAAAGGCTTAAGGTTGTGCGTGTTTCAGGCTTTGAGCGAGAGAGACAGTGAGAGATTGAGACGACAGAGTACAGATGCGATCTGGTCTGAGAGAGTGAAACTGTGANTACAGCATCAATTGGAAAGTTGGTATATATTTTTTATTCGAACAGGTATTCAAACGAGTTATTCGAACATATATTTACAAGTTATCGAACGAGTTATTCGAACAGGTATTTACAAATTATCGAACGAGTTATTCGAACAAGTATTTACGAGTTAGTTAAACAAGTTAGTCGAACGAGTTAGTCGAACGAACACGAACGAGTTACGAACGTCGAACGAGTTAGTCGAACGAACACGAACGAGTTACGAACGAACACGAACGAGCTTTTTGTTAATCGAACGAACACGAACGAGCTTTTTGTTAATCGAACGAACACGAACACACATCCTGTGTTTGTTCGAACACGAACATGAACACGAACAATCGAAAATGCTTATCGAACGATTTTCGAACGGGCCTGTTCGTTCATGTTCGGTTCGATTGCAGGCCTAGCCAGTACTCCTATGGTTTTCAAAATTTACAAACAGTGGCTATGTTATTCAAATTATCCAACCACCTCTTACATTGTTAGTTTTTTCCGTTAAAATTAACTTTTTGATTGGTTTTGACTTATAAAATTACCAAATTACCCCTAAAAATAAGTGATATTAAAATTAAGAAAAATATCTAAAGTTTAAAAAAAAAAAAAAAAAAACTTGACAGCTAAAAATCGATGAATTTACTTGAAAAATAAGAAAGTTAAAAATAAATTAAGAAAAAAAACTATAAATTTAAGAAATTCTTTTAAATTGGCAGATTTTCAATTTTTTTTCTTAAATCTTTTAATATATTTTTTGAAAATTTTAGTACATTTTCTTTTAATTTTTTAGAAAAGTTATTTTTAAGGCCAATAATGTAATTTAGTGGTNCAGCCATGTAAAGTTTATATGTAAGAAAAATTAAATAAATTATGTGGAAATATATGTCAAACATTTAGGAGGCGTTTGGTTAGGGGGTATTGGAGATTATTGGGGTTAAGTCATCTTATATTACTTGATTACCATCTTTGGTTGTCAAGTAATACAAGATACTGATAATCTTCAAATACCAATACTGGTTACTATTGGTAATATTTGAGGCAATCTGACTACTTCTATTTTCTTAAGTATTCTAAGATTATCAAGGTTGTCTTTTTTTGTTACAATTCTATCTCTTATTAATAAAATTTTAGGACAATAATGCCCTTATTTTTTAATTTATTTACATGAATATGGCTTTTACTATTTCACCCCCAATTAATTAACTTTTTGGACAAAATTATCCTTGAATTCAAAACAAATTACAACCCACCCAAGCCACCACCCCAGCCACCTGCAAGAACGGTGACGGAAGGCCGAAAATGGTCGTCATGCACCAATATGGCCATTTCCAACCAGATATCTGGCCGTTGACTGCCAGATCGACGGATGTGGCCGTTGACAGCCAGATCGATGGTCGTTAATAGCCACGTCTATGGTCCTTAACGGCCATCGATTTGGCCGTTGACAGCCAAATCTGTCAAGTATGACCATTTCCGGCAAGATCTCTGGTCGAAAATGGTCATACAACGCACGGAGGCCATTTCCTGCCTTCCGTGCGCTGTTAGGTTGCCGGCCGGCAGTGACTGGGTTGGAGGGGGTCTTTGTTGATTTTCCAAACTTTTGTTATGGGGTTGTTTTTGCTAAGTTTTAAAATGCAGGGGGGTTATAATAATCTAAATAATAATCAATATTAAAAAATAATAGAATAATAATATTTAATTAGAGGACAATTCAGTCATTTAGATAACATACCCACTAATTTATTCCTTCCAACCAAACATATTAATATAACATACCCACCAATTAACCAAACACATTTTCTTAAAGATTCTCAGTAATCTTCAAGGTAATTTAACTTTCCAGTAATCCAACATTTTCAGTAATCTAACATTCCTTGAACCAAATGCCCTCTTAAAGTTATCATATTTATTAAGGGATGACAAAACAGTTGTTAACCCTCTTCAAAACACTTTTAAAATGAACTATTTGACTTATGACCAAATGACAAGACTATGAAATATCCAAAAATCTTATGTTCAAATCATATAAAGTGGTCATTCATCTATTACATTTATTACTTACCTTAACCACTGGACTTGTAGGTATTCAAGAAACCTCAGAGATTAATTGAGGTGTACTTAAACTGACCCAGATATCTAGGCTTAGACATCTTGGTAACTCGATTACCAAAAAAATGCATGTAAATTTCATAAAAAAAATCAATAACATGTGTCATAAAGAGAGTTAGCCACTATGATGATCACGATTCCAGCTAATATTTCATAGGATAATTTGATATGATAAATTGATAACCANAATC